TGGGGATGAAGAAGCAGGCAAATCAAGGATTTTAGTCATGTGTGACAATAAACGTGTCCTGTAAGTTCTTTGAGGGCTGGGATTTTTTGGCCTTTTTTTATTCATTGATGTATCTCAGTGGCCCGAATAATTCCTAGGGCACAGTAGATAATCAGTAAATAATCGCAGAGTGAACTAGTAAAGAGGGAATCCATATAGTTCTTCTTGTAGACAACTATTCAAGTCAGCAGTGCATTTTTTACTCAGAACCTGGCCTCCCAGAGTAAAGTCCCTCTGATAAAATGTCAAATCTTGACGTGATTTCCTGAAGAACCTGGTGTCATGTACTGCATTTGAATTAATCTACACAGAGAAACAAATCAAAGATGTTAGGCTCATCCTGGAGAAATTTCACTGATGCACCTTCTTGGGATTTGCTGTGCCTTAAACTCTCTGGGTAGCTGATTTCACTAAAGACTTTAAGAACAGCCTGGATTAGCAAATTAGAGGAAGAAGCTGGGGCAGGGGTGGACTTTCCTGTTTTTACTATTAAAGTATCTTGTGTGGATACAAAAAAACAGAAAAGGAGCCTGGTGGCACAATTAGATGCTTGGCTTCTGACTCAATGGTCAGCCATTCAAACCCACCAGTTGCTCTGCAGGAAAGAGATGTGGCAGCCTGCTGCCATCAAGGTATACAGTCTGGGAAACCCTGTGGGACAGGCCTGCGTGTCTGTCCTAGACGGTCAGAACTGTCTCAAAGGCAGTGGGTCACGTTGATCCAGGGAAAAGCCTAATTAAATTTCCTGCTGACTTAGTTATTAATTTCTGGTGCATGTCTGTCTTTAAACTGCTCTCTATGTCTTAATATAATCACTGTTGCCATCAATCAATATTTAATTTGGTGCTTTGACTAGGCTAAGCAAATAACAGGACAATAAAATAGAAAAGAAATATTGACTGTGTGCTCTGATTTTAGCTACAACACAAATAGCCACTGAAAAACAACTGGAGGGAAGAAAACCACGGAGCTTATAATAGTAGTTCTGTTAGACGTTATCACCAAGTCAGATGAAACGCACTGCCATCGAGTCAATTCCAGCTCATAGCAACCCTTTAGGACAGAGTGAAACTGCCCCTGGGGGTTTCTGAGAGCGTACGTCCTTATGGGAGCAGAAAGCCTCTCCTTTCTCCCGCAGGAGTTCCGATCTGTAGTTAGTTGCCCAATGTATACTCCACTGTATCACCAGGGTTCCTAGAGGTTATTCGGTTATGAATAATTCTCTCAGTGTGGGGTACCAGCCTCCACCATCAAAGGGCTCCAAGGGACGGCTGTGTAATTGAGGGGTAAAATTAAAGAACCATTAGATAAGATAAAGCGCGCAATTGCTCACCTCTGGGACGGCTCGATCTCAGCAGCCGGGT